TATCTTACTGCCCTACTAAAGCATGCAGGCGGGCACTGAGCACCAAGTCTGCCATGGGCTACTTGTTAAGCCTGAACTTTAAAAGAGCAGGTGGGGTATTGACTGCTGGCACTGTGGGCATGGGCTGTGCCTTTGCTTTACTGCTGCCGTTTTCCCAGCCAGGGAATTCTTAGATTCCTGATCAACCGAGAAAGTAACAAAGAGCATTAGCAGGTTTCCTAAAACTTGCTGTCAGAAAACTCTACTTTAATATACCACTGAATTAGATTTTTAAAAATATTGAGGACTTTGACGTGAGAAAGTCTTTAGTCTTATTTTATGCACTTTATACGTATTAATTTACTCCTAAGACTGATGTTGGGGAAGGAAGAGAGAGAGGTTCCCCTCCATTCTACAGAAAGCAGATGAGTGCCAGGACTGCCCACCAGCACTGTCCTGTCACGACTAGCAATGCAAATATCAACTTACATATAAGTGAAATTTGCCATCCAACTCTAACAAATCTGTAAATTTGTGTATTTAGATTTGATCTACATTTGCTTATTTTACTACCTATAGCCAGCTGGGAGATAAAAGGTACCCAACCTTTTTGTCTTATTTCTGGTTTTTAGAGACACTTTCAAGTAGCCCAGGCTGGCTTTGCACTGTGTAGGCCAGGCAGGCCTCCTCCTCTCAATCCTGCCTCAGCCTCCCTAGAGCTGGGATTACAAGCGTGCCCCCAACCCCCACCCCAAGGCAGGGTTTCTCTGCAGCCCTATCTGTCCTGGAACTTGCCCCTTAGACCAGGCTGGTCTCAAACTCACAGAGCTCCGCCCGCCTCTGCCTCCCAAGGATTAAAGGCCTGCACCACCACCATCTAGCAGTTCTGTTTTTTAAAGGTCACTACATTTTTACAACAGCGTTTCAGTAGTTTAGAGCACTTGCCTCTCTTCCAGCAAACCTAGGTTTAATTCTCAGCACCCACATGGTGGCTCCCCAAAGTTCCAGGAAGTCTGATGCCCTCTGGAACCCATGGTAACAAGGCATAAATGTGCTACACATACATTCGGGTAAAACACTCATACACATAAAATAAAGTATTTTTAAAAATTTTAAATAAAAAACTGAGCACCAGGCTGGAAAAATAGATCAGAGGTTAAGAGCATTGACTGCTCTTCCAAAGGTCCTGAGTTCAATTCCCAGCAACCATGTGTTGGCTCACAATCATCTATAATGAGATCCCATGGCCTCTTCTAACATTGTATATGTAATAAATAAATCTTTAAAAAAAAACAAAACTGAGCATCATTTTACTTACTTGCCAAATGCCTCAAAAATATCCTTAAAGGCTGATTTGATTATTTAAATTCTCAAGACATCAGCCCTCCGAAAGCCTAAAGCATTAGTTGCTTTATTATCAAAATGAAAGGACATTCATGCTGTCATAGGGAAACAAAGATGCGACACATTTACTGAGCCAATCCCTAAACAGCGAATAAACAGGCATCTGAGCTGACATTCCAGCCATACTGAGAACTGGAACCCAGACTTTGCAGCCTCCCATCAAGCAAGCCTTTGGCGTGACATTACTATTGCAGAGAACATGGAGAGCTTGAGATGTAACTATCCCCTCAGCTATTTCTTCATGGGCGATGAAGCCCCTCTCAAGTCCATCCAGCATCCTTTGTCCCCAGAACACAGAATCTCAACATCCTTCCTCATCACTCACGCAACCACTCTGCACCGCAGGCTTCCACACAGTCAGAATCTCAGCAAAGCTCCCACAAGCCACGCCCGTACCTCCTGATGTCTATTTCCTGTCTGTGTACAGTGGAGTGTGATGCACTCATTCCCTAGGGCCTTGTGAAGAGCCAATGAGCTCAGGCCTGTAAACATACAAAGGATGTACCTGACCCAAGTCTATCAGTACCGCCTGTTGCTTAATTTTCACTCAAAACTATCAAGACACCAAGGAATACTTTTGTTGATGGTGGTGGGTTTCTCTGTGTGGCCATGGCTGTCCTGGGACTCACTGTGTACACCAGGCTGGTCTTGAACCCGGAGATCCACCTGCCTCTCCCTCCAAAGTCCTCCTTTCCTCCAAAGGAAAGCACCACCACCGTCCGGCTGGTACTTTTAACTCAAAGCTTCTGGATGTTTATCCCCACCCCATACGGATGTGACATGACTCGTAAGTCATAAAGCCTGAAATGGATTCTATCTGCTCCCCAAAGCCATTGCTGCTGCTCTTTGCCCCTCTGGGTCTGTTGTCATATTCCAGACCCAACCCAGGCTTTTCAGCATTATTGCTGAGTAAGGACTCACTCACAAGGTTACCATGATTATTAATGTATTTCTCCGTTATTTTAACAGTCACTGAAGTCTTCCCAAGTTTCTTACTCTTCAATTCAGTTTCTATAAGTCACTTGAAGTGGCCTTCCAAAAACTTTTATTTTACTCTGCTGCTACAACTCAGAAACCAACTCCCCAAAAAAGTCGTGCTTAGCAGCGGCAGAAAACCTAAACTTCCTGTTTGCTGTCCAAGGCTTTCTGGGCTCAAACTACCTCTCCAGCCTTCTCACCAGACTTCACAAAAGAGCCTGTGCTCAAAGCTTCCAGGACCCACTTCCAGCCCCTGCTTCCCCATCTCCTGTGCTGCTGAACACACTGCTTCCAGGATCCAATTCCCATCCCTGCTTCCCCATCTCCTGTGCTGCTGGACACACTGCTTCCAGGATCCACTTCCCATCCCTGCTTCCCCAGCTCCTGTGCTGCTGCTCAGTGCTTCCAGGATCCACTTCCCATCCCTGCTTCCCCAGCTCCTGTGCTGCTGGACACACTGCTTCCAGGATCCACTTCCCATCCCTGCTTCCCCAGCTCCTGTGCTGCTGCTCAGTGCTTCCAGGATCCACTTCCCATCCCTGCTTCCCCAACTCCTGTGCTGCTGCTTAATGCTTCCAGGATCCACTTCCCATCCCTGCTTCCCCAGCTCCTGTGCTGCTGGACACACCGCTTCCAGGATCCACTTCCCGTCCCTGCTTCCCCAGCTCCTGTGCTGTTGGACACATGGATTCCAGGATCCACTTCCAGCCCCTGCTTCCTCATCTCCTTACTTTATTCACTTCCTTCTTCCACTACTCAGTTTTTCTCTCCATCCCTACCCATAAAACACCAGATTTCAAATGCTGTGTTTTACAATAAGCTAACATGTGCTTTCTCCATCCTTTTTATGTTTCATAGAGAACTGTTCATAGAGACGCCTCATCCTGCTAGCAGAACACCCTTGTTTACAAGTGCTAACTGCTATTCAAAGCGACCAAGAATTAGGCCTAGAACTCAGAATCAATATCAAATCCTACTTTCTCCTTAACCCAGTCCTGCCTGTCCCTCATATATTTAATCATATGTGTCTTATCTTTTATTACACTTTAGTTATTTGCATGATCATATAAATTAATAGTTCTAACTTTAAAGAAAAATGTATTAAAAGCTCCTGCATGAAATGTTTGCTGAGCCAACTAAAAGTCTAACAAAAAAACATGTCAACTCACATTTAACCAGTTTTGGGATGGGATAAGAATAAAAAGCTGGCTCATGGGAACATCCCTTGTCACTTCTTAGTAAATGTCACTCATACCATGAGTACAGCTAGTAGCTCTTCATTTGAGGGAAATGACAGCTGCCCCCTTCACAGGTTGTCAAGAGCGTACAGGAAGTGGTGTGGGAAAACATTTGACAGTGCCTTCTGTGGAATTCTCAGCATTTAATTTTTAGCCTTGCCGGTCTATTTATTTTATCAAATCCTGCCATGGCAGTCTTCTGCCTTAACACATCCACCCTTTCCCATCATCTCACAGGATCAAGTCCAAACTGCTCTGGCCTGGTTAGTGACTCCTCCAGAGGCTCAGCCCACCACCAACTGCAGGGCTTTCTCCACTCTAGCATAGTTTAGCTGAGCTTTCCCTGCACAGGCTTCAGAACAGATCTGGATCCCTGGTCCACCTGTTCCACACACAGTCTCTGTGACCTTGGGCAGATCACTCCTGCTGTCGGGGGCCTACTTCTGTACTTCAAGAAAGATGAGTTATATCTTACCTTACTGTGTGTCCCAAGTAATTAGCAACTTGGCCTGGAGAAGTGGCTTGGTCGTGTTTGCCATAATTACAATAACACATCACCTGCACTTCAGTTTCCACAGAACCAGCTGCACTGTGCTGTCCAGTCTTTACCTGTCTCCTTATCAAACTAGAAACTACCAAAGAAGGGCACTGTCCCTTACTTTCATATCTGCATGTGCACATAACAAATATTTAAATGTCTCTAGAAGAAGTAAATGCTTTAAGTGCGTCCTGTTACTAAAGACCCTGACCCACGCCAGCCTCACTGTCCAACACACACGCTGCCGCGGCCCCCAGGCCTCTGCACCGAGATTCTGACAGACTCGGTGGAAGGTGAGCACCTGGGAAGGCATACTCGCCTCATGCGGAGGTACAGCAAGGGACTAGGTAATATCAGAGAGTGTCACCCCGATTCACAGGAGGAGATTCACAGGTGGGGGCCTGGGTGTTTGGAGACACAGCGGGAAGTGATCTTGCAGGTCGCAGAGGCCGGGACCGAGCGCGGGCCAGCTTGGCAGCAGCTGCAGCCCCGGGCCTCCCGCCTGCCCTCAGGGCGAACCTCACCTCCTCCACTTTCAGCTCTTCCACAGTGGGCAGCTCCACTATCCCCGGCATGACGGCGGCAGCCCCGACCCTGATCAGGTGCCCTCAGCCGAGTCGCCCGTCTCCTTCAATTCCCCTTTGGGTCTCCCAGGTTGCCCTGTACCATTTGCGCATGCGTCTCCAGCTGCGCGCAGGCGCAATACTCTGCCGCTGCTGGAGTAGACGCCTGTACGCCATTTCAGGAAGTCGAGCAGGGTTGAGGGGCGGGGCTTCGTTTGAACTCCGCCCACACCTTCTGGTTGTTATAGTAACACTGAGGGCGCTGAAGTTGTTTCGTTTCACCAGACTCTAGCCGCTGACATGCAGTACACCGGGAGCAAATATATCGGGTCATACATAAACGGGAGGTAAGGTTCCATTCGTCCATGTGTCCACTCCCGGGCTGGAGAAAGGCAGCTGCCTTTTGCTCTCTGCCCGGGACTTTGAGCCAAGCATTTTCAAACGTTTGTGCTACTAACATGCTCATGTACACATGTCTAATAAGCCACATAGGTGGGATTCATTCAATTTATTGTGTGATATGTGTACGTGTCCCAGCACCCACATGGTGACTCACGACCATCTGTAACCAAAGTTCCTCTTCTGGCCTCTGTGGGTACCAGGCACGCACATGGTGCACATACAAACATGTAGGCAAAACACTCATACACATTAAAAAATAAAAATAAATTTTTTTAAAAATGACTTTTTAAAAAAGGAAAACAGGAGCCTGGACTACAAGAGCTAGTTCCAGGACAGCTGGGGTTCTTACACAGAGAAACCCTGTCTCAAAAAAAAAAAAATGAAAAATAGGAAATGCTATTCAGTAAATGCCAATTATAAGCCCTGCCCTTAAAAAGCTCATGCAGACATGAGGGCAAGTAAGCCCGACACAGTTATAAGTAATCAAGGTCAGCACTGTGGGCAAGGGAGAGGCCGAGGACCCAGTGTGGCTAGCAGCTCCAGATGAAGAAAGTGAAATATTTTTCAGAGCTGGAGAGCCTGAGGCTGGGGGGAAGTATATTGACAGATAAGTGCTAGTTGTTGGGGTGTAAATCACTCCATGGGGCTGTGGAGATGGAGAGATGAAGGGCCTGATTTGGGAGGGTCTGTGTACACAGGCTAGAGGAACTGCAGGGTGTTTTGAGTTTGAGGCTGCAGGAACGATGGCCGGCCATAGGGATGGTTTCCTAGAGAAAGTGGTGATAATTCATATGGGTGATAACTCAGATCTTCAATCAGCTCTGCAAGGGAGAGGGTAAAGGACTCGAGTCTCTTGTCTGACCCTTCGGAAGGTGGTAAAGATGCTGGGTGTACAACACTTCCACAACAGTGATCTAGTTCAGGCTGATCTCGCACGTACATGGTTGAACTTAGGCAAAACAAGCAGCTTACTCACTCTTAGGAATACAATGCTAAGAAGCAATGGGGTAAGGATTTCTACCCATTTCTGTGTCTAAACCACATCACGTCTTCCCACCTGGCCTTGCGACAGCAGAAGTTTTGTCAAGTGGAGATGAAGGAAACCAGGAAGCCCACACGCATCTTTATGATGTGCTCTGCACGTCAAGTCAGTGAGACAGACAGACACCGACAGAAGGCCGGAACTCTACACACTTTCACCTGTCTGTACTGCATCAGCCACCCCTGCTCATCCCGAGCAATGAGGTCTTTTTGGTACTACTGTAGTCACAGACCTGACAGGAGCCTCTCGATTGCCCACAACCCACAAGAGAACAGTCATTGACTTGCTGGTCTTCTTTTCATAGTTTTGCCATGTACTCTGCCTGAATCTTGGTTTTTGGCAACAGTCATCCTTGTGACTGCTTAGATCCAGCATGTAATGAGAGAAACAGCACGGAGAGAACCCAGCCTTCCGCTAGAGGTGGGCCTCGATTTCCTCATCAGAGGCAGAGCTAGTGAACGCCCTGAGGGGATTCAAGGGATACTTAACAGTATGCATACAGATGTTGTTTTCACAGAGGATTCAAGGGGATACTTAACAGTATACATACAGATGTTGTTTTCACAGGGAGATAATGGCAGGGGGAGGGGGCTCTTTTCATTCTTGGTCTGAGAGGAGGCAATTTATTTTTAGAGTTTAAATGCCTGGAATCACTTCTTCTTTTTTTTTAAAATTTATTTATTATATTATGTGTATAGCATTCCTTCCACGTGTGCTTGCAAGCCAGAAGGGGGCACCAGGTCTCATTATAGATGGTTGTAAGCCACCATGTGGTTGCTGGGAATTGAACTCAGGACCTCTGGAAAAGCAGTCAGTGCTCTTAACCTCTGAGCCATCTCTCCAGCCCCCTGGAATCACTTCTTATATAAAATAAATTAATACTTAATATTTGGTTTAGGTAGACTTCCCATTGCTGGTGGGAATATAACATTGGACAAGTGCTCTGGAAGAGCTTGACATTTTCTTAAAAAGTAAGACAGGGGCCGGGCGGTGGTGGCGCACGCCTTTAATCCCAGCACTCGGGAGGCAGAGGCAGGCGATCTCTGGGAGTTCGGGGCCAGCCTGGTCTACAAGAGCTAGTTCCAGGACAGGCACCAAAGCTACAGAGAAACCCTGTCTTGAAAAAAAAAAAAAAAAGTAAGACAGGCATTTGACTCCTAGGTATTAGCCTGATAAATGGAAATACACGCTCATACAAAGGCATACTTGTGGGTGCTCCAACAGCTTTATGTAACTGAGACTGTAATAACCAGAAACTGGAATCAACCCAAACGTCCTCCAACATGTGAATGAGCAAACAATGTGGAATATCCATTCACTGGAAGAGCACACACAGTGAGAATGCTGGTTCACACAGCAGTAACATGAATAGATCTCAGAAGAATTATATTGCGTGAAGGAAGTCCCCCCTCCCAAAAAGGAGCACATAGTATATGATTTTTATATAAAATTATAGGAAGTGAAGATGAATTCATGGTCACAGAAAATTGATGAGTATTTGCTTAAGGATGAGGAATGGAAAGAACGAATAAGAAAGATTAAAGAAGATTATGCAGCAGCTGGGGGTGGGGGATATATTAATTATATTAACTATGATGATGGTTTCCAGGATATGTGTCAAGACTCATAAGCTATACACTTTAAGTTTGTGTATAGTTTTGCATATCAATTATGCTTCATAAATAAAACTGTTTTAACAAAACATTAAAATTCATTATTTGCTTGTACCATATCTAAATATAAAAATGAAAAACCCGGTATAGTGGCTTATACCTACAATCTCAGCATTTGAGAGGCTGAGGCAGGAGAATTGATATGGCTTCAAGGCCAGTCTGATCTACATGAGTTCCAGGTCAGCATCGGCTAGAGAGTGAATCCCTGTTGATAAATAAATGTAGGGCCTCTGACCTCATGGTCATGATTTTCCTGAAAGTGCTGCACAGTTGAGTTCTAGATGATTCTACTTGAGAACACAGAGAAGAAGAAAGACCTTCTACATTTTGTAATAGCCACCATGCCTCATAGTGATTTCCATTTGACAAATGAAAAATGTAAGGTAAGGTGCAGAGTGATTTCTGTAGCTGGCCCAAGCTAACATTTGACAGAACAAGGATTTGCTTAGTGGGCAAGACTGAACTGGTCACGGTGGACTCAGAATCAGCTGCCTGAGCCGCTGGTCTCTGCAGTTTCTGCTGTGTATCTCTGACACAGTCCACAGCCCTCTCTGGACCTAGCAAGGCCAGCAGTGAACAACATCAACTCTAGGACAGTCTGCAGCAGCAGGGAGGATGACAGAGCAAAAGCTGCGCATCTTAAACAACTTTTTTTTTTTTTTTTTTTTTGCAGTTTTGATGAAAACAAAGCCCCACAAAAACTCTGCCAGAATCGTGATGAATGACACCTAAGGATGGAGAGAGTGACTGTCCCCCCATGTCCTTACAGGATGGAGGGCAATGCAGAGTACATCCTCCCTACTGAGACGAGATATGTTGGGGACATGAAGGACGGCATGTTCCATGGAGAAGGAACCCTGTTATTTCCCAGTGGGAGCCGATTCGACGCCACCTGGGAGAAAGGATTGGTGGTGAAGGTGACCAGATGGGGCTTCGGGAAGGGTCTCAGGCAGGAAGAGCCCCCCCCCCCCACCTGCTGTAGCCCCTTAGCCTCCCTACCTGTTGTTGCCTCTTTCCATTCTCTCCTCCCTCCATCCTGCTGTGCCATTTACAGTCTGCTCTCTGGCCAGTGACTCTCTATCTCTGAAATGCGTGCTCCTCAGTGTGTGTGTGTGTGTGTGTGGTTTTCAACACAGGGTTTTTCTGCGTGTCCCTGGCTGTCCTGGAGCTCACTGTATAGACTAGGCTGGCCTTGAGCTCACGGATCTGCTTGCCTTTGCCTCCCGAGGGCCGGGATTAAAGTGTGCACCGCCACTGCCCAGTCTATGCTCCCCAGCCTTGAACTAACAACAGTCAGTGTGGCTATGTACTGCTGCCGTGGCGGATTACCCCTCAGCTGACCATGTTAAGTCAGCCTCCATGTACCATTGTATGGCTCTGGGGACTGGAAGCCTAAACAGGGCCAGCAGGCCAACCCCAGGAGAGAATCTCTTTCCTCACATTTTTTTCTACCTTCGAGAAGCTGCCTGCGTTTCAGGCCCAGGTATCACTCCAGTCTCTGCTTACAGCTCCAAGTCACTTCTTCTCCCCCTGCTCCTGTCGTCTCATCCTCTCCCCTGGCCCTGTCTACCTCTCTCTTGTAAGGACCCTCACATTGAGAGGTTCTAGAAGAGGTCTCTTTTTAAAATTATGCAAGGTAACACATTCACAAGTTCCAGCAGGTCTGGTCAGCTTTGGGGGTAGGGTGGGACGGCAGCGTAGCTTAGCCGCCCACAATGGTGCTCAAGGTAGAGGGAGAAGTGTGCATTCTCAGCCATCTCCTGACACACAGCACCACCCCTGCTACATCATCTAATCCAAAGGTTCTCATCTTGGGGTTTATGGGTAGAACTTAGGGATCAGTGGACCCCTGATTTATGCACACACAAAAGCCTCTGTGAATATGGAACTATATTTTTCTGCGGGGAAATGACCTGCACTCATTTGAGTTTCCCTGAGTGTTTGCTGGGCCTGACGCATGACCTAAATAAAGGTTAAGAAATGCTTCTTCTTTTATAGCTTGGAGACTCTAAGCCTCAGGAAGGGGATGTGACTTACCCAAGGTCACACAGTGAACAAACAGTATTGTGGGAATTTCCACCCATGTTTCCTGAGGCCTAGGCTGATGTGCTCTTTACATCCTGAGGTTTCCTTTAGCTCTGAAGCAGCAAGAACAGAATGCACACATCTGGGCAGGAGGCTGTGGCTCCTGGCTCTGGCTTTTCCAGCTACAATAATAATAAAAGGAAAAACAGCATGTGCAAGTGTTCCTTTGTGGGTATTAGAGCACTCGGAGGAGGGTGATCAGGAGGGCACGGCAGACAGACAGAGTCTGGCTCATGAGATAATGGAAGCCGGGCCACAGTGTATCCTCTGAAAGCTGGAGGCTCAGAGAAAGCCAGAGCTGGAGTTCTTGTCCAAACTGAAATCAGAGACTCTTGAGAGGCAGAGGCCAGGTGTGCTGATGTCCAAGGCCAAGATGAAATGGGCATCCCAGGACAGCTGAGAGCAAGTGGTCCTTCCTCTGCCCCATCTTCTGATCAGGTCTTTAACAGTGCTCATCTGTATGGGCGAGGGTGATCTCTGTACTCGGTCTGTCAACTCAAATGCAAATCTCTTTGGAAAACACACACACCTCCCAGATAAGCTTGGCACATACCTATCTCACCAAATTCCCAGCCACCCCTGTTAGAGGGATACTGTCATCCTAATCCTATCAATGAGGAACCTGGTCAGAGCCTAGGCCACCTGCCCAGCTCCATGCAGTCTCCATGATTTCTGCATCATACATAGGCTGGATGCAGTACCTCTGTCTCCCCTAATCTTCACAACCATGGCCATTGTGACAGCTGTCACTTCATTCCTGAGGCAGTGAAAAGCCAACTGTTTCCTTGGTAACAAGGCTTTGGTCTCCTCTGGTTCCTTCCAGGGAAGGTACACCTTTGCTGATGGGCTGCAGTATGAGGACAGACATTGGCACTACTGCGACAGTTATGACCGGAGATTCCACACCGAGATCTGCTACGGCCTGAAGCCCTCAGGTAGCACACCCACAGCGAGAGGGAGGTTGAAGGCACCTGAAATGAATGTCTGGTCCCCACTGAACCTTCCTGAGGGGAAGATGGATGCAGCAGGCCCAGGAGAGCCACAGGACCCAGTACTCACATCTCAGGCCCCTGGGCTGGCCAAGGGGAGGAGACCAAGGAACCCCACTTCTCTGTGCCTCAGCTTTCCCCATCCAAGTCAGGGAAGCAGTGTTTTCTGCCTTACAAGTCCATTGCCAATAAGAAAATTTGTACCTGGAATGATGCTTTGCATGCATGTCAGGTGAATGGCACGCAACAGCTGTCATGCTAAAAATATGTAAGCATTACAACACAAGAGGGTGGGAAAGGGGGACACAGGCCAACGGGACATGTGCTCTGTAGGCTGGGTCCCTCCAGTCCCTGTCTTCTCTTAGGCTGTTTAGGGTGCCCCTTCTGGTCACTCCTCCCTGCCCTGCCTCATGGGGGAGAAAATCGAGAGCATCTCTAAGATGGCAACTCGACTGAGGCGTTCAGCAATCATTGCCAATACACATGTATTTTGGTCCGGGGCAAGTGTATAATTAGACAACATTCAAGCATTGCTTTTGTGTGATGCAGATATGCAAGCACGGCATTCAACTCTCTGCTCAGAGAAAGGGAAATTCAGGACTTAATATTAAAAAGAACATTCCAGCATCTCTCTTTACTCCAGTCATGGCATTCCAAGACTTAAAATGTCTGTATGCCCCTTCCTTCCTGGGGAAGTGCCCCTGACTTAGGGATCAGACTCAGACCCACTCCTTCCCTCATGTGTCACTTAGCACCCAGGGCCCAGAGCCTGGCAGCTTCCTAGCTACCTTGCACTGGGCCTGTTACTCAGCCTCGGATGTGAGTTCCCTCTGAGGATTACCTGAGACAGGAGGAGCCAAATATCTAGTACACAAGAAACAATGAATGGAACCACTGATGTGGGATTCCCCTCTGTATGCTGCGAACCATTGGTTAATGAATAAAGCTGCTTTGGCCTGTGTCAGGGCAGGATAGAGCTAGGCAGGAAAACTAAACTGAATGCTGGGAATAAGAAGACAGAGTCAGAGAGATGCCATGTAGCTGCTGAAGGAGATAAATGCCCACAAACCTTACTAGTAAACCATGAGCCTCGTGGTAAAATACAAAATAATAGAAATGGGTTAATTTAAGACATAAGAGCTAGCTAGCAATGTGCTTAAGTGATTGGCCAAGCAGTGTTGTAATGAATACAGTGTCTGTGTGACTATTTTGGGTCTGGGGGGCTGGAACAAACAAGCATACTCTGCCTACAGTACCACTGTGGCTATTTCGGAGAAAGTCCAGGTGCAGACCTCTGTTTGCCCTTTCCTGGTGACCTCCCTTTCTGGATTCTGTTCTTAGGTTTCCTGGAGTGTGGCCAGGGGTTCACACCCATGGCCTCTGTCCTGCGTGTGGTCAAGGGTTCACACCCATGGCCTCTGTCCTGCGTGTGGTCAAGGGTTCACACCCATGGCCTCTGTCCTGAATGTGGTCAAGGGTTCACACCCATGGCCTCTGTCCTGCGTGTGGTCAAGGGTTCACACCCATGGCCTCTGTCCTGAATGTGGTCAAGGGTTCATACCTATGGCCTCTGTCCTGCGTGTGACCAAGGGCTCACACCTGTGGCTTCTGTCCTGAGTGCGACCAAGGGTTCACACCTGTGGCTTCTGTCCACACACTGGCTAGCCCTCTTGAATCTACTCTCCTGGCCATCTCTGACTCACCCCTGGGTTTCTTTGACTTCAGAACTTTATCATGGTGGCCCAGGAAATGGATGAGGATGATATCAGAGAAGACAAAGGGTCCAGCTCCCAAGGCCCTGCTCACTGCCCCGTTTTCAAATGCTCCCTGGGCCCTGTTCCTGATGACTTTGCTCCTGGCCCTGCAAAAGTAGCCTTTGGTCCCACGGCCACATGAACAACAGCTGGGGGTGCACATGACCTTGGTGATATACTACCTGTCCTTTGTACCTCCTTAAGGTATCTCTCAGCTCACCAACATGGACCCACCTAGAAAAATCCCCACTGGCTGCTATGACTGTGGCGATGGCTTCTACAACCCCAGGACCAGAGTCATCAAGGATTACCGTAATCGCTTTCTGAGAAATGCAGGTAGGTGTATGCTGACACTGCGGACATGCTTTCTCTTCACCTGCAGGGATAACAGCACACATGTGCATGCATGTGTGTGAATACATTAAGAAAGAGATGAATATGGTCATCTGGATGTCCCCTTGACCTCAAAGCTGGCAGGTCTGTGTACGGCCAGAGTGAGAGCACGGAAGTGTGTGCTGAAAGAGTAAGGCTCTTCTTTCTGTAAGCATCCCTTCATTAGCATTAGTAGACTCCTGCTGTGTTCTAGATGCCATGCTTGGCACTGGGTATAGCAGAGAGAAGCTACATCCCAGCCCCTTCCTGCTGGAGCTGATGCTCCCATAGGCAGTAGAGAAACGACAGATAACTGATTGCATCATGGAGCAGGCCATCAGAAGGAAGACATGGCCCTAGAAGTGGAAAGGTGGGGGCACCATGAAGGAGTAGTTTAGGGTCCCTAGTCCAGAACCAAGGTACCAGAGGTTTTGAGAAGAACATGGCATCTCAGTCGGCACCTAGGAATTGACCCTGGACGTGGGAAGGAGCTCGTCAGTCAGTGGGAAAGCACAGGCATGGCCAAAGAGCAGTGACTCCGTGTAGTCCAGGAAAGCTGGCTGGCTGGCCCCTCGGCTAGCTGGTGCATACAGAACTTCATTTTAGTGAGAGACCCCAAGGCTGATAAGACTTCACAGTGACCTAACTCTCAGGAGGCAATGTACAAATAAAAATATGAGTGTTTCCTATAATTCATGGGGTCACATTTGTCTTCCTGGGGTCATAGTCCCACTACAGTACTGATAGCTATGTCCTTCTCAAAGACGTGCAAACATCTGTAGACATGCACGCGTGTGCGCGCGCGCACACACACACACACACACAGAGAGAGAGAGAGAGAGAGAGAGAGAGAGAGAGAGAGAGAAGGAGGGGTGTATATACTTTAAGGGATTTGCAGTCTGTGGAGAAGCTCTCTGTGTGAGGAAATATCTAGTAGAACAGAATGGCTCCACGGCAGTGAACAGCATCCCCTTCCCACAGGGACATCACTCAGTCAGTGGGGATGCAGAATGTTGCCAATAGGGCTGGCATGAGAGCCAGGGAAACATCTGCTGATCCCAAGGCTGGAATCCAGAACCACTTTGAAAAGAGCGTACGGAATGCTGAGATCCAGGGCCCAGCGACTCCGCTTCTTGTGGGGACACTGTGCCTCAGGCCCAAGTGAGCCAGTGCTACACAGCGTGACTTCCCCAGGGGCCTATCGAAGGCTAGTGTCCCTCTCACGTTTATTTAAGCTGTAAATGCCTATTTCTGTCGACATTTGCTTAATGGTCACAGGGTCTATGTGAAAGGAACTCTCACCTCCACTTGCATTCAGGACTTGTCAAAAAAATAGGAAGAAGTAGCTGTCGGGAGCTTGGCTAAAAGGCTAGCACCAAGAAAGCACCAATAGAACATGGAGACAACAGAGAAAGTCACACATGGAGCAGCCCCACCTCTGGGCCTAGGGCAAAGGGCAACAGTGGGGGTCACAGGAAGTGAGTGGAGGTACTAAGGAACTCTGAGAAGAGGGCATTGTCAGGCTGCAGCTGAGCTCCAAGCGGGCACTGCCCATTGGAGTCTGTGAGGAGTGCAATGATGCTGTTTCTGAAAGTGTAGAAAAAAAATGACATTGGGCGGGAAATGCCACTTCTAAGAAACATTAGCATGAACAGCAAACAAAACAGAAAGGAACCAGAGAACTGGCTGGCAAAGTGCAAACGTGCCCTGCTGCCGTGCCTGCCCCCACTACACAGAGCAGAGCGTGAATGTACCTCCATGTCATACGCCCCCAACCTGCACAGAGCAGAGCGTGAATGTACCTCCACAACCCAGTCTTCTGTCACAATGCTCCTAAGCAGGTGAGCTCTTCTACAGATGTTAAAACTTCCTGATAAAGGTGTGTCCTCTGTGCCCCAGTTGGTGTGGAACACGAGGCTACCACATACTGTCAACAAGCTGAACGGTCCTTTCTAGAAATACAAAGATACTGGCACCTTTTCGTCACATGGGGAGATAGACGCTCAAAGACCCTAGACCCATAATCAACTAATATTAATTTCTAATCAGTCCTGCTTAAAGAACCTATAACCAGCCAGCCACTGTCAATAATCCTTGTATGAAACAATTTGGGGGAGGTGAAGGCATATATAGGGGAGCACAAGGAAGACCAGTGCTGTGGGAGCAGAAGACTACAGGCAGAAGCACGGGCAAGACTGCCATCACCACATCTTTGACTGACCATGAAGCTGAACATAACATTTATGAGATCTTTCTTCCACTTCACACCAGGTCCTGTTAGCCTCCAGCTTTATATTTCCTCTGGTCTCACTTTTGTGTTTGTTTGTTTGTTTGTTTGTTTGTTTAATCTGGCAGCGTTACCTAAACTGTCATTTCAAAGGGTCTGAATCCTGACAAGACCTGTCAAAAAGTCCAGATTCAGTTGGTTGATTCTATTTTTGTTACATTTCTATCAGCAGTGGAAGTGTTAAGGAGTGTGGAGAACCCCTGGGTTCTATGTAGTGGTTCCTTTGTCCAACTGTATAACAGCAACCCAGTTAACCTGTAACCAGTGACTCCAGCCTGTCTAGTGCTCTCCTCCATGCTAAACTCTGTTGTGAGTCTTTTTCTGTCCTGTCAGCCAGCTCCCAAATAACTACACAGAGACTTATTAATTGTGTAAACTCAGCCAATAGCTCAGGCTTTCTTCTAACCAGCTCTTACAACTTAACTTAACCCATTTCTGTGCATCTATGTGCTGCCACGTAGCTCATGACTTTTACCTCGTCACCTACATGTCATGCTTTCTCCATGACTCTGTCTTTCTTCTTCCCAGTATCCTCTGTGCCTAAAAGTCCTGCCTAGCTATTGGTCATTCAACTCTGTATTAAACCAACCAGAGTGACACATCTTCACAGTGTACAAAAAGATCATTCCATAGCAAAGCTCATTGGAGCCATGCTGCATCACCTGACAGGACCACCCCCTTGAGAACTGAGATCTGTAAGCCAGTGAAGTTGAAGCTTCAGGGCAAACATTCTTCCTAAAGCCCCTGAGCCAGTGCAGCAGGCATGCCTTGGCACTGAACACAGGGCTAGCATACAGTGGTGCTCATTAAATAGGTATGAAGCAGGGCCGGGTGTATCTCAAGGTAGACAGCATTTGTCTAGTATACACGAAGCCTTCATTTCAATCCTGAAAAAGAGTAAGGATATGTAAACCAGATAAATGAAGAAATGAATGTGAACTATGAACCTCTACCCTGGGGGTGGGGGCAGGGGAATATATTTCTTGCATGTCTCTAATGTGTTTGACTATGAAATTTGTTGGGAAGTGGGTCAGTGGGAGCATTTTGCAGAAGTAGGGCAGTATGAAGTCTATTCTGGAACATTCCAGAGTGTGATGTGTTTGTTAAATCTTTCTATGGTTAGGGTAGAATGCAAGAGATTCATTTGACGCTTTGAAAGGTTTGAATTGTATTCCAGTCCTGTTTCCCCAGAGTAGCATCCTGCTCCAATGAAGAGTCACAGCCTGATGTTCATGACAGACCCAGAAGCACACATTTGCAATGTAATGGGCAGGACTTTTGACTAAGTGGGAGATGAAGGAAAGGGAAACATGATACAGAGAACAGGGCTCACAGAGGTGGAAGCAGGAGAACCAAGAGGACAACCAGTACTCACACATAGCAAGTTTGAGGCCAGCCTGGTCAGATGTGTTTAAACCAACAATGGATACCTACTGATTACACTAGCAGGAGAGTCGGGGAGGGGCATGCTAGGCAGAGAGAATATGTAAAGACACAGAGGCATAGAAACATGCCATGACCGAGTAACCAGAGTGTTCCAGAGAAGCCTTTCTTGGTCGTGTACTCAAACATTTTGGGACTCTATGAGGGTGGACACCAATGTTTTGCACACTTGTTATGTGTCTGGATCTGGGCTAGGTATGGTGGTAGCAGTGCCCCAGAATCTTCTCCAGTGGAGCAGGAAGGACTGCTGAGGAAGTGATCCTTAAAGTACAGAGCTGCTGCCAGCACACAGGAGAGAGCCGACCCCGGAGGCCGGCACACAGGAGGGTCAGCCGACCCTGGAGGCCAGCACACAGGAGACAGCCGACCCTGGAGGCCAGCACACAGGAGGGACAGCCGACCCTGGAGGCCGGCACACAGGAGGGACAGCCGACCCTGGAGGCCGGCACACAGGAGACAGCCGACCCTGGAGGCAGCACACCGGAGAGAGCTGACCCTGGAGGCCAGCACACAGGAGAGAGCCGACCCTGGAGGCCAGTAGGCCAGGGCAGTCTCACAGAACACCTCTGAAACCAACACAAGAGCAGAGAGACACAGCAGGGCTGGGAAGAGCAGGGGACAACATGTGCAAAGGTTAGAGTTGGGAGAGAGTGTCTGCCACCTGGGAACCACAGTGACAGGAGCATGGTGGGGGTAGGGTGGACAAGGACTAGAGGAAGGAAATGTTTCAGACTGGAAGTGTAGCAACTTTAGAAAGACCCATTACACAGAAAGGAAAGGGCAAAAGAGTTAAGTTTAGATAGGAGATCCTTCTGGTAAGATGGTGGGTGGGAGAGGGCAACTGAAAGGACCCTGGTAGGCCCAGGCTGGTGACCCATAAAACCTGGGTTACAGTTCTGGCCCCAGCTCTCTGAATGTAAGCCACCATGAGGATGCTCTTCACTGCTGAGCCATCTCTCCAGCCTAAGAGATGCCTTTCCTAGCTGGGGACTGTGGCACCCACCGCACTCAGTTACTGTGAAATTAACTTCTTTTGAGGAAAAGCCTTGCTATGTTGCTCAGGCTGGCCTTGAACTCCTGGGCTCAAGCACATCTCTTGCTTCAGCCTTCCAAGTAGCTAGCATCACAGGCATGCAAGCTGTGCTAGGCTTTTAGTGATAATTTAAATCCACCCTTCTACTCACTAAAAAGGTTTGCAAACCTCCAGCATTCCAGGATATGAGCGGGCGACCTG